GTCAATTCCGATCACAGCTCGGCCCACCTCGGCCTATCCCCAATAAAGACAATCCGGGGATCAGATCTGTTACATCCTTGGTGTCAGCGCCGGTCTCTAGAGTGACTAGCGTGATGGAGTGAAAGGTCGTACTATAGCTTTCGTATGAAAGCCAGTAGAAAAGGAACTCACCTCGACGCTAGTAAGCGGAGGGGTTAAGCACCCTTAGTAAGAGACGTACGCGGTATGAGCTTCGCGTCGCCGGGCTTAGAGCTAAGTATTCTCTCTTCTAGGCTACTGTAGTGACTTTACAGTAGTCTAGGAAATTGGTACGGAATAGAATAAGGTAGGGAAGGTTTTTAGAAGGTTTTGATAGTAGATTTAAACCCCACTCACAGTTTGTATTGTAAGGTAGACGGGTTTGTATGGTAATAACTGGGGGGAGGATTCTTGGGAAGAAGACCTCCCCCTTAAGTATTACAAAGGCAGGGGTCAGCCTGCCTGTGAGACCGGTGAGGCCTGCAGAGGATCATTTATGTATATAATCATAAATGATCAAAATATGCATTTAAATTAAGTTTCAAACCAAAAGTGGAGGGAATGATGTCATTCAAGCTCAAAGGAGAAAGAATGATGTCATCTCTCTAATTACAGAGTATAGAGAGATGATTAAGATTTCAAATTGTATGTATATAAAATATGAATATTAATACAGAGGTGAATACTTAAGTAATTCCGTGGAATTACTTAAAGCATAAAAGTATAAAAATAAAATAATAAAAATATAAGATTACATAATTGGGATTTGAACCCAAGTGTGTTGGTGAGGCAAAGTCATAACACAGTCCTTAACCAATAAACTACAGTACATGTGTTTGTTGGTTAAGTATAGGTTGTAGACACATGGGCTACAGCCTCAGTGTCTGACATTCGCCCCCACCAAAAAAATTACTCTATGAGGAATTTTTTGACCTCTTGGAAGCCCTGAATTGTCTTAACAGAACCTGACAATTCTTAATTTTATCAACCTCTAACCACATATCTTGGTCAGGTTGACAATTCTTAAACCTAACTAAATAAAGTTTACAGTCTTTGCTTTGTTTTCTGACAATCTTCTCACCTAAAATCTTGTAAGGGACTTTGTCTGATACTTCAGTTTCTATAGGAGGAAGGATTGCATCTTGCTCAACTCGCAAAGGATTAGTTGTAGGATCAACATACTTCTTACACAAACTTATAGGAAAAGTGGGATGTCTTTGGCTAAATTGTTCTGTAAGGATTACCTCCACGGCATTCCTTCCATGAAATGCTTTGATAACAAAGGGTCCAATAAAGGCATCTTTCAATTTTCTAGGGCCAGCCAAGTTATTAAAATTTACCGTGGAAATTAAAACTTGTTCACCCACTTGTAAGTCATGGTCTTTATGAGACTTATCCCATCTTTCTTTATTATATTCAACTGCTTTCTTCACGCATGAACTTGCTTTTTCTTCAGCTTTAAACATCATTTGCTGAAAACACTCAGAACTTGGATGTAAGGTAACAGTCTTAGAAAGCAGAAAGTCTTTAGGCATACTAGGGATCCATCCTCTCTCAAGTTCAAAAGGAGCAATTTCAGTTACTGAATGTTTGCTAGAGTTGTAAGCAAATTCTAGTGCGGGCAAGAGGGATAC